TTTCAAGGTTCATGGGTGTCGCTAGCGCTTTCGGAGAGTCTTGGCATTTGAGATCTCGACAGTCGCGACTTCCACCTGGTGAGGCTGTTGTTCGCGGTTGGAAGGCACGTCCGTCGTCACTGCCATAGTACAGCTCTCACTCGCTCTCACCCGCTCTCACCAGCTCCGCCGCTTTTACTAGCAGGACCGAGCTCGCGCACCGCCCGAAGAACTTGCGCATATCCAACAAAGACCATCACAGCTCACCGATCGCGTCTATACCTTTGCCTACCGTCGTTTACCAGCCTACCACATACCCTTACACACCTTCGCCATGGAAGGAGAGGGAGAACACGCGCCGCCCCAGAGGCAGGAGCCACCCGTCTTCAAGGCCCCAAGGCTAGTTTCGCGCCCGAAGCCCCCGGTGCAGCAAGAGGAGGAGATGGGCTCTGAGATCAAGCTGGGCGACTTTGAAGACGTCCACGCCCTCTCCGTCTCCGAAGCGCGCGCCGTCGTCACAGCCGTCCACGAGGCCCGGAAGAAGAAGGACCCCGAGAACAACCCTCTGCGCGATAGGATATACAACGACAGCATGTGAGTCGCTTCGAGAAGACACGACACATGGGGAGCGTCAAGGAAAGAGCCAGGACTGACTGTAGCAGAACCATCACACAGTTTCTCGACTACCTAGACAACTTCGCCCGCTACAAGGAGGAAGACAGTCTGCACTCGATCGCTGCCCTCTTCGATGCCCACCCCGAGATATCTGTTGTCGAGAAGGCGCTGCTGGGTAATACAAGTATTGGAAGAGCATGGATTTGGTGCTGACAAGCATGCTAGGAACGCTTACCCCGGACACCGCAGAAGAGGCCACCACCCTCATTCCCTCGCTGAACATGGACGAAGACGAGCTCCAGTTGATCCTGGATGAGCTGAACAAAATGCGTGAGTTGGAAAAGTTGAACAAGATGGTCACGGGCCCATAAAGCTGACTTCTCGGACAGAGGATCGGCTTCGATAGTACACTCCCGGATTTCTGTACCGTTGCATGCACCTTTTGGATTACGCCTTGAGAGAACTCGATAACATGTCGAAAGCGGCCCGTCAACGCATCAAAATTGTTCCATGTTCGCCCCCAAGCGGTTCTTGAACCGTTCCAGTTCATTGTTCACGTATAACAACCCCATTGGTTTGGAGAGCATCGGTATTTCCAAAGTTGATTTGAGACTGCATCCCCCATGCTTCGACAGCGACAGCCTAAGGTTGGTAATAAGGACAAGTATGAGAGGACTTAGATTGGGCATTTTGAACCTCGCCGAGGACGAAGAGCAATTATTTGCGATACTCACCACGATATTGTTTTGCTGCTTGGGGCTTCTCATCAATACATCCAACTTTCATTCGATCCAGAATGACAAGATGCCGCCACCCTTTACTATGTACATTGTGACATCGAAACATCATCCTTCCCCACCTCAAGTTGACCTGATAGCAACGATACCGAGTGGGATTATGCGTATCACGGCCTTGTACGTCTTTACAAATACTACCAAACATTGTGTATGCACCCCTCATCGGCGTTCAGTTACACCACACTGCGAAGTTGCACTGTGAACAGCCTACAACATTGACATTTGCTTCTTTTGTCTAGTCTTTCATACCGTCCACAGCATTCGATTCAGGTTCAAGCACCCACAACGACAACTCCAAACTTCTCAACTTCACCATGAAAACAGTCCATTTCTCTACAGCCGCTTGTAAATGCAGCACCATGCGCGCATCCAGGCGCAGACTGCAAAGACTCCATGCATTGAGTCTAGCCTACCCCCGCCACCAAACTGTCCCATCCCTTACAACCGACTGGATGATAGACAGCGTTGTTACAAACTGCTATACACGTGGATGTCCTTACGCAGCTTCTGACCCTGTCATAAAGTATAGCCTGGCAGCAACCGTCCTTGCAATTAGCATTATCGCTGCCATTGAGCCGGCAACCGGCGTCGGTATAGCTGCGGTTCTCGCAGTCATTATTCTTATCGTGGGATAAGACTGTTCTCTCTACAGCTGCAATTGAAAAGACTATAGATCCGAGAAGAATAATTGGGTGTATAAAGCAGCCGAATCTGGTAACTCCCAACTGCAGCTGCAAGGCTGGAGTTGTACGTGCTGGTGTTGTAGACACCGTCGAGAGGACACAATGATTTTGTAAACTCAATGTATTATAATGATATCCCAGGTATACATTGCTTTTCATTTTGGCTACAATCGTAAGCGTTGACTCTTTGCAGTTTCATATAGCCTCATCAACCTAGATCTCCTTGGCTACCGTGGGTGAGTTTGGAGACGACCATTCCGACGAACAGCCCCGGCAAACCACCGTTATCGACTTACCAACCCACAAATGTACACACCTAAAGTATCCCGCGAAGACTTGAAGCTCCAGCGCGAAGCCCGAAAGATCAACCTAGACTTTTGCGTTCATTCCCCATCTCATGACTTTCACCCCTTGTGAAGAGGAAACCACTGTGACCTCGAAGTACGCGGTCGTACATGCACAGCGCAAACTCACTGCTGCATGCAAGCAACAAGCAGGAACCAGAACCTCGATACTTGCCACTAACGCTCCCCTCAATCTATATAACGACTCGGTCTCTGAGCCTCATCAAACGTTCACTCTCTTTAACCCCCTCAACCACTAAACCACCAAACGACTGTCACCCATCAGCCACCACACCATCCAACCCTCAAGTCATAATCCATCCACAATGCCAGGCTTCACATCCTTCTACCTCAAAGGCCGCATGGCCAACGCCACCGCACCCCAAACCGACTTCGCCTACGACTCCGGACCCGATTTCGAAACTCTAGCATCGAAGAAACATCATCTCCAACTACAGAAACGCCTTGCCCGCCAAGTAACAAACATCTACAGCACTGTCATGACACGCTCTGACGCCAACCAATCTTTGACTCTACTAAAAGCCGTGAAGTCGCATATCGACGCCCAGGTGGAGGCGTTCCATGACTTGGGGTTGATGTCGCTGATCGAGCGGAACAAAGCTATTCAGCTGTTTGTAACGAAGAGCCAGAACATTTATCAAGATGGGTCGCGCGCAGTGCAGAAGTTTAGGTCGGCGCAGGGGCCTGTTGGGGATGTTGCGGAGGGGCTTGGGCTGTTGGGGAAATACAAGGGTGCTAAGAACGGGGAGTTGGAGATGTGGGATGTGGAGTGCATGGTCGTGATTTATCAGAGGAGGATCCTGAAGCCGTTGAAGGAGGTGGTTAAGGAGATTGAGAAGGTGGTCGGGAGGGAGGAGGGGTGGACGGACCCGCAGTAGTTGAGCGGCTACCAGGCTGATTCAGACGCGTATTATATCCTTGGAAGGCAGTTTGGGTGAAGCGTTGGTATAAATCGGAAGCGGCGTCTCTGGTGGTTTTGGCTAAGAATTCCATTTTCGCTGTACTGGAACCAATTGTGCTTTCTCGGCAAACTTTCTCACTAAATGGATCATCTTGTGTATGTTTATTAGCGAACTACTATGTAATGCGTAAACCTTTTGCCTGCTTGCTGGGACAAATCGAGGACCGCTGGCTCAACCAATGATGACATGGATGTGGGGCGCACGGCAAATCCGGTTAGCGGCCTGGGGAGAACCGCTGCGCACCAGCTGTCGTGCAACCTTCAACATCACACCACATCACATCGTGCCGCTCGCTACGCCTTTATCGACTGGTCTCTACGCCGTATCTCGGTTCCCGGAAGCTGCGTCGGCCTGGACCATCCTTCCCGATCGCAGAGCCGTGCCGTGCCGGCTTACCCATCCCACGATGTCCTATTGTACGGCGCCACGATGTCCTTACCTGGAAGGCTGCCCGTGTCTTTTCAATGTCACCTCCAATCGCCTGGTCGGCTTGAGGAGAGGTCTACCATACAGATCCCTCGGACACGATTGTGACAAGCCTGTCGTTCAGTGCTGCTGATGTCAGAAGCCACCCCACTGTTGGTGGAGTCGACTTCAGCAATCACGGTTCATTCCAAGGGCAAGGGATGCTCCACTTATCTCGTCGATACGATGATTCTTACGCCTGAGACCTTAAGAGGCGTAACTTGATGTAGTGAATAGGGTCAGAACAGGACGATGCGGACTCCCAGCCTGTGGGACTGCTCCATTGCCCTGCACAGTAGCGGTTTTCATCTCGCTATGCGACGAATGCGATTGTGATTGTGGAACGATCTGCAGCAAGCGACGATGTTGATGTCCTGGAGCGGCGTAGAAGCGCGAATGCCACCGCAGTAATGGTCTCAGCCCCGGTGTCGGCCAAGATACATGGAGCCGTGTACACACCTATTGGTCTACAGGTCCCTTGAGTCAGCCTGGGATGATCAGATTCTTGGAGCCTACAGGATAAAGTGCCAGAGGACACACCATCTGCTCTTCAGAGTTACCTGGACCTGATCATGTCGTCCCTAATTCGAGGCCTTTCTAATATGTCTCGGGAGCAGCTGCTCTTTACCCATTCAATGCCTATTGTGGCTCTTATTGTGATCTCCCTTCTTACTTACCTGCTAACATGGATCGTCTATGCCAGACATATACACCCGCTGGCCAAGTACCCTGGGCCGTTCTTTGCTTCCATCACGCGGTTCTGGCACATCTTCGATGTTGCACGAGGAAGCTCGGAGAAGACACAACGAAGACTTCATGGTAAATATGGTATGGAGCTACTGCCCTAATCGTCAAGCTTTCCGCGGTATTGACCAGTATAGGACCCATCGTTCGGATAGCCCCGAATGAGGTTGCAATTGCGGACCCTGAAGCAATCAAGACCATATACGCAACACATACAGGGTTCACCAAAGTACGCAAATGATTCTGAGAGTCGTCACTGATGCTGACGTCTTACAGACTGACTTCTACCTCCCATTCCGATCAACCTGGTCAAGATACCCAGATGCCTTTACGAACCTCGACGAGCGTCAACACGCCGAGAGGCGCAGGATCGTGAACTCTCTCTATTCCATGTCGAATATCCCGCGGATGGAGGAAACTGTCGACAAATGTGTACAGATGCTTGTCGACAAGCTGAGCGAGGGTGCAACGAATGGTAGCACGCTTGATATGTCGATTTGGGTCCAATGGTAAGACATTATACAGTAAGCCTCATATGCGTGAACACTGACTTGGAACCTAGGTACGCCTTCGACGTTATCGGACAGCTATTTTTTAGTCGCATGTTTGGCTTCATGAAGGACGCTCATGATTGTGGTGGATACATTCACTCCTTAGACCTTTTGATCCCTTTCATCGCCGTTGCCTGCGCTTCGCCAGCGTACTTACGACCGATCGTGCTTATCAGCGGCGCAATGATACCACGCGTATCCAAAGCACTCAAAGCGCTGAAACACATCGAAGAAACATCTGAAGCATGCGTTACCAAGCGGAAAGGTCGCATCGCGCGCGGCAAAGCCGATGACTGCGAAGATATGCTGCAGAGCTTCTTCAAGGTCATGCAGCAGAAGGGTACCGAGAAGGAATTTGGACTGATAGAGGTAAAGGCGGAAGTTTATGGAGCTTTGTGGGTTCTCTCTCGCGGCTTCACTCGCGCACTAACATTCACTAGCATCGCCGGCTCCGACACCACCGCAGCAGCCATCACCGCTGTCCTCTACTACCTGATGCGTACCCCGTCCGCCTACCTCAAGCTCACTGCCGAGATAGACGAAGCTGCGCAAGCCGGACTATTAAGCCCAATCATCCAGTACCATGAGGCAGTGGGACTACGATACCTAATGGCTTGCTGCAAGGAGGGTATGCGACTCCACCCAAGCGTGGGTATGGCACTACCACGTCACGTGCCCAAAGGTGGATGTGTGATCGCTGGCGAATGGTTTCCTCCTGGCACTCGAGTTGGTATGAATGCAGCGGTGGTACAGCGCGATAAGAGCATCTTCGGCGATGATGCAGATGACTTCGTGCCTAAACGATGGCTTGGCCCAGATACTGCAAGGATGGAGAGGTATATGTTACAGGTACAAGTGTTATGACCAGCTTCTACTCCTGGGTACTAAAAACCATATAGTATGGTGGTGGATCGCGAACATGTATCGGGAAGAATGTGAGTAGGAGCTTACGAGTATATTGAAGCTTCCTGACGATGTTACAGATCTCGTTGTGCGAGACGTACAAGGTGATACCGCAACTTCTACGCGACTTCGACCTTGAGCTCCTCGAACCAGAGAAGGAATGGGAGACGCACAATTACTGGTTCAACAAGCCGACCAAGGTATATACTAAGGTTCAGCGTAGGCAGCCAGAGCGGGTGAAAGTTCGTTGAAGAACTCACCCATCGCCAGCTTTGCTGTATTTATTTTCCAGTTGTATCTCAGAACAAACAAAATGCAATTCACTCGGGCTCTTGTGCTGCCTCTGGGAAAAGTTTCGAGCACTTGGACTGGCAGTTGCCTTCGCGGTTTTGCCTCGTCCGTGCACTAGCCCTCCACACTTATCAGGTAGTTACTAAGTACTCGAAGGTCCTCTCAACAGCTCCCTCGATGGTAGCAACCACGAGAGCTACTACACACCGTCAAGCTTCCTCATGCCCACAACCGCCTTCCTGGCCTTGCCAGCCGAGGTACGCATCAACATCTACAACCACATCTCGCCAGTCAACACCTCTTTCGCCTCATACTCCGGTCTCCTGCAAACATGTCACCTCATCCGCAAAGAATGGAAGTACGAAGCAAAGAAACACATATCCAAAGAATACACCCAACTCCAAACTTTCCTCGCCATCCACAACATACGCATCCTCACGTCCGCCCGCGATTCATTAAACAGATCAAAGATCGTACTCCGCCTCCCACCACTAGACCCCACGGCAGGCTCTACCAGGCTGCCAAAATTCATTCCCTGGCACTGGTCCTGGATTACCACCGTCATCCTCATCTTTAGTAACGAGTGGCCGCGGAATTACAGGTCGCAACTCGCCATGTACAACCGGTACTGCGACACGCACAAGGCCCTGTGTCGAGATATCCTGGCCCCAGGAGCACGTACTATTCCAGAATACGACAAGTTGTGCGAGACGACAAATCGGTCTAGTATCAGGCACATCAGTCTTCGCTGGTACAACGTTCCCCAGAATACGCGGGTTGGATCACGTTTTGGTTTTATACCTGAGCCTTGGCTTCAGTATGGCGAAGGCTTAGAGTATCCCATGCGTCTTTGGGATATCCAAACTCGGTGTGGTTTAGAGGCTGGAACTAGCTGTTTCAGTGTTGTCTGGCGGCGCAGGAGCAAGAAAGATGTGCCAAAGTGGTACTGGGTATCTCGTGGAATCTGGCGGTTCCCCTACAAAGTTTTACGAGCAATCTGTATTGTTGCTGTTGGGTGGATTGTCATGTGGACACTGGAGTTGTTGTACCTCGAGTATGTTCGTGTTTAGTGGTAGCTCTTCTGCGGACGTTGGAGGCAAATGGACGGTTGCGCAAAATGAGCTTGTTCATCATACATCGTGTCCTCCCCCTTGATGCACCTCTTTCCCGCGGTATCTTATCATATCTCCATATTTATCCTCCGCCTCCTACCATGGTTGTGTCGCTAGCTGCCGCACTATCTCTTCATTGAACTCTTTTTCTAATCTCTCTATATCCTCCTCCGTCGCCTCCTGTTCTTCTTCCTTAACATTCGCCGAGCCCCAGGGCTCCAAGCCTACACTCCACCAATCCGTCTTGAACATTGAATCCCACCCCTTATTCTTAATTTCCCTCCTCCTAAAGCTCTTTGTTGACCTACGCCCCCTTCTAGCTAAGCTCGTTGTAAACTCTTCTTTGTGGAGCAATGTGTTTAACGCCAGTCTGTCTAGCTCCTTTGGCGGGGCTGCGCTGTTGAACTTCCGCCAGAGCACTGTTTCTGAGAAGGTGACGTGTTTGTTCTCGAGAGATATGTACCCAGATGCAGGCGTGGGCTTGCTTCGAGGCCCGCGGTTCAGTGCCGATTCCACGCACCCAAGACTCTTGCGATGATCCCGCTTGACCGCATCCCCAGCCCACATTCTCTCGTCTTCAAGCGCATCCCCTATTTCCCTCTTCAATCCCTTAACAAGATCCAAAAGCGGTCCATAGCGCGCCGCTATCAACGGCCAATATCTCTCGGCCGCAGTCCTCCAATCCCTACAGGGATATTTGGACTGGTGTTCGCACCTCATCTCAATCCTTCGCATACTGCAATGCGCATCGTAGAACTCTTCCACGCAAGCCGCGTCATCTTTGTAGCCCTTGGCACTATATATGAGATCCTCGAGCCTCTTCAAGATCTCCTTTTGCTGTTTCCTGATGCGTGTCAACGTACACGACGCGTAGAATTCCGAGGTGCTGTGAGGAGAATGTATGTCTTTACATTGTCTCTCCATCATTTCCTCGAGTGTTGTGCAGACTTTCATGAGGCGTCCCGCTTGATCGCGTGTGATGTGCATGCCGGCGATGCGCGCCTTGGGTGCTTTGGAAGCTGTGGGCGTCTTGGATGCGTTCGGCGTTGTCTTTGTCTTCGTAAACCAAGACATAAGGAATGTGTGAAGATAGTATAGATAAGAGAGGGATTGTCGCGCGCATTGCTTTATTGCGCGGCTTGGTGAGGTGGGTTGGGGCGGATTCGGTACCCTGGGTGGGATTTTGATGCGGACCAGTGAGGAAGAGCGCATTGTGGTTGAAGGGGCGGTGGTTTGGTGGATGGGTGGAGGTGCGGCTTGCGTGTGAGCCAGGAGGCGACGTATCACTTGCACGTTGCGAATAATGAGATAATGCAGGGGCGGTGCGAAGTTAGTTCTGTTGCGCATTGTGAAAACGGGCTGTTGAGTGTGAGATAAGGGAAAGGGTCTGAGAAGACGGGCGCCTATGAGACAATCTGGTTTAGGGAACAAACAACGACAACAGCAAGCGGATATGATATGTCAAGCACTACACTTGACTGCGTTGGTGTCAGAGTTGCTCTGCTGGCCGTCAGATGTGAATAATACTGGTTGAATTAAGACAACGCGGTAACATGCCTCGCGCTCACATCTTCGCCCTATCCCCATGGTCCGCATTCACAAGCACATAACGATACCGTGCATGTCCGTCCTCCATATCAACCACGCTCTTGTTCGCATCCTTCATATTGCGCTTCTGCACCCAAGGCTTGATGCCCTTGGCTGCCGCGAATTGAAGCATCTCCTCGATCTCCTTGGGACTGCCAATCTGGCTACCCCCAATCTTGCATCCTTTGCCGATAAGACCGAACGCTGCGATTTGAGGAAGCTTGTCTTCTGGTGCGCCGACTTGTATGAATGAACCGCCCGTACGGAGAAGGCGGAGATAGGATTCGAGCGGCATGTCTGGAGAGGAGACTGTGCTGATGATGAGGTCGAGGGATCGGCTGTGGTTGCGCGCCCACTTATCATCTTCAGAGGTGGCGATGTAATCTGTGGCGCCCATAGCTTTTGCGTCGTCGACCTTGTTCCTCCGTCGGCTTATCGCGACAACCTTCTCGCAGCCGAGTGCTTTGGCGAACAAGACGCCGAAATGGCCTAGACCTCCCAAACCTACGATTCCGACCTTTTTCCCGGGACCTGCGCCGTTGTTCTTCAGCGGCGCATAGACGGTGATGCCGCCGCACATCATAGGCGCTGCTTCTTCGCTCTTCAACCCAACGGGTATCTTGATCGCGAAATGCGCTGGCACGCGAACGTAGTCTGCATATCCGCCCATGCTCCAGCTTCCATCGGGGTACTTCGCATTATATGTGCCCACCATCTTCGGACAATGCTGCTCAATGCCCGCGCTACATTCCTCGCAGTCGTCCTTCAAGCAGCTGAACGCCTGCGCGCCAACGCCAACTCGGTCGCCTAAGCGCAGGTTCTTGACTTTGTCTCCCACACGCACGACGTTTCCGACGATTTCATGGCCGACGCATACGGGATAGTGGGTTGCGCCCCAGCCAGATCGCAGGGTGTGGATGTCGGTGCCGCAGATGCCGCAATGGGAGACTTTGATGTCGATGTCGATGGCGTTGAAGGGCTTAGGTTGGAAGGACGACCATGTCATATTACCCTGCGCGGCATTCTTATCGTGGCCCAGCCAGCCGTGAAATTCGGAAGGGGAGGTCATCTTCGTTTGGGGGCGGGATCTCTAACTCTGGAAGGCGGGGTGAGGTAATTTGAGCTTGTCAGTACACTATTCGAGAAATTGGTCGTAATGTTAGCTATCAAGAATAGAGCGACAGTAGATGTCGAGCGTTGTCGCGCATCGCGCAGCTAGGACCGAGGATGGCCGACGTCATGGTGTTGGGACAATGTTATCCGAGGCATCTCGCCGGAGCCCTGGACACCAGATGAGGGGTCTACGGCTCATGAGAAAGAACAACCCCCATCATTGCGAAGAGTCACGATAGAGTCAGTGGCGCGATAGCGTGTCTCTGCAAGTGTCGAGAACGATCAATGAAGCTGCGTGTGATGTCGGGGACCGCGAGTACTGGATGTGCACTGTCGCGCTAACCCGCGACCATCAGTCAGCAACTCTAATGCCCGGGCATATCGGCAGCTCACTGTGATATACTCCTGGGTATCTTCTTGGCTTAATTACACCAGCGTCCAATTTAGACACAAGACATTAGTTGTTAAGATTGAGGCGATCAGGAGACTGCCCAGAGATCTGTTCATTCATGCTACTGTACATTACTACGACGCGATGCATTGATATAACGCGAGAACCAAATCTACCAACCCCTAAGCCTCGGTCTTCTTCATCCCCTTTGTAAAAAGCGGACTCTGCTTAACGCGTTCCCAATCATGAAGCATCATGGTATTTGCCGTGCCATCCCTAACCTCCGTGCCCCCACGCCTAATCATCTCCTCTTCAAACGCATCAACCGCAGCTTTCCTGTCCTCGCCAGCCTGGATCTTAGTAATAGCTTCGTACAACTTCCCAGCGTCTGTAACAGAGTGATTGAGGCCCTGACCTCGCTGGTACGTCATCGGGTGCACAGCATCGCCCACCATAGTAATTAAGCCGCGATGGTTATCCCAGCGATGACCTTCCATACCCGGGTCCCAGTCAGTGAGCCCGAGGTACCACACAGGCGTGCAGTCTGGCGTCCATTCAAACGCACTCCTCCACGGGTCGCAAAACTCTTTCGCGAATTCTTTTTGTTGCGCCAGGCGCTGAGCACCGGTCCAGTTCTTTGTGGCTTCCTGCTCTTCCAGACTACTTCTCCACGAGATGTAGTAGAAGAAGGTCCAGGAAGCCGGGTCATCTTCGTCCGGCGCATCATGCATGCCGAAGAAGGCGAAGTTGTTATTCGGGTGTGCACATGCTAGATACAGCGGGTGGAATGACCGCAAGAAACGGGCTTGCTCGGCGGTAAACTTGCACTGGACAAACGTGCACGCATACGGTATGTGGTTGATGGAGCCCAATTCCCTCCCGAGGAGAATCTGCCTGGTGGAAGAGCGTGCTCCATCCGCGCCAACCAGCATGCGTCCCGTCGTCGAGGTTCCGTCGGCGAAATGGGCAGTGACTGAGTCATCATCAGGTGAGTATGAGACATCGTATAAGCGCTTGTCGAAGTGTATGTCAAGGCCTTGCATTAACAAGTCGCGCAACTTGCTCCTCCGTAAGCGGTAGAAAGGCCCGAAGGTGATGGCTGCAACCAGCGCTCCGGTATCGCCTCGCAGCCACTTCAACGTGTCCTGCTCTTTCGTGGGGACATTCGGGTCGACCTGGACGCTCTGGATGCAGTCCCACCAGCCATCTGGCATGAGGCTTTTCAGGACTGGCGCGCCCCAGTGAAGGCCCATGTTCCAGTCGCGCTCGCCATGCGTGGCAGCGTTCTTCTCGAACACGACGCACGGGATGTTCGCCTAGTTGTTCGAATGAGGCTACTCTTTTGCATTACCCAGACGGTGTACATACTTTGCGGAGCCCCTGTGCGAGTGCAAGTCCAGCGGTTCCTGCGAGCTGGTCAGACCGTGTGGTGCAGCATGTATGCGGCGTCACCGTCGCTTACCAGAGCCAATGATGATATAAGGAAGCTGCGCCGCAATGGCTTCGCCGTCGGCAGTTGGTTTTTCCATGTCAAGTCGCCTGAGATCATCGATGGACTTTGGTCATACTCTCAACCTGTTCTTCGTCTTCTACAACAAAGTTCGAGTATCCACTGTAGAGGTGCTCTTGGCCCACCCTCTCCAACCCGTGCCGCCTGCCAAAAGGGCCGATTAGACAACGGCGATGAAGGGAATGACGCCGTTTGCGGCCCGCAAATGAGCCAGTCCATCAGTCACGAGATGCATTCATCGACACCCTCCTTTTCGACGTTGTTGGCAGGCTCGCCAATGGCCTGACTGCCTGGGACACCCAGAGTCTTCGTACAACGTCGGTAGAGTGCCGCCAGCACGCGCTTACCCCGACGCCTCTAACTGCCATGCAGGCGATGCAGCACCGTTCCTTTTGCGCGTGCATTACACGCGCATCAACGAATGGCAGCGACCGGAGCAGACGGCCGATCCGCTGGATCTACTCGGGGATGCTGCGCGAACGCGGCGCCATCGGTGCAATGCTCCACTTTGCCAGAGACCCCTCGCCCATTGACAGACGCCTCCAAACGAGAGTCAGCGGCCGGCCAGCGTCCAGCAACTTCCCAGTGCATCGGCTCCAACTCTCCAATATGTAACCCGTCGTTTCCGGGCGTCGCGTCGATATCTCCCACTCTTCCTCGCCGCGCACTCTCACGACAGCACCATGGCGTCTTCATCTTCTCCGAAGCCTTTCGAGGGCATCGGCTTGCACCAGCAGGATAGCGCCGTGCATCTAGGAGACGACGCGCCTTCCTCTTCCTCGTACCCACAACAACACGCCCCCGTACACCACGCAGCGCCACCAGACTCCGAAGCGTCCCCCGTAGACGACGACGATGGCCTTGGCTTCTCGTCCGACTCAGCCTTCGACAGCGGCAGCCTCCTTGGCGACGAGACCGATTCGCTAGCCTCGTCCATCCTCCACCACCGCATGGAGAATGGACGCCAGTACCACGCATACCGCGACGGCGCATACTGGGGACCAAATGACGAGCTGGCCAAGGAGATACTGGATTTCGCGCACCACATGTACCTCCTGACGCTCGACCAGAAGCTGCATCTTGCGCCGCTGGTTAATCCACAGACGATATTAGATTGCGGCACAGGAACCGGCATATGGGCAATTGTACGCTGCCCAGCCATATCCCCCAACACAGGCTAATAATACATGTACAGGATATGGCAGACCAATACCCCTCAGCAACAGTAACAGGAACCGACCTCTCCCCCATCCAACCCGAATGGGTCCCCCCAAACTGCCACTTCGAAATCGACGACGTCTCGCTCGAATGGACCTTCCCGCCTAACCACTTCGACTTCATCCACATCCGCGAGCTCTTCGGCTGCATCCCAGATTGGGACTTCTTCTTCCAGCAAGCCTACAAACACACTAAACCAGGCGGCTGGATAGAAATAGTAGAGCACTCCGTGTGTCCTACATCCGATGATGGGTCAATGGGGCCAGACCACTTCTACCATACCTGGGGGAAAGTGGTGGTGGAGATGGGCGATCGGTTCGGCAAGACGTTTACGATTTGGGAGGAGAGTGCTGAGAGGATAAGGAGGGCCGGGTTTGTGGATGTACAGGTTATGGAGTATAAGTGGCCGATGAATGGGTGGCCGACGGATAAGAAGCTGAAGAATATTGGGCGGTGGAATCAGCTGAGGTTGATGGATGGGGTCGAGGGGTTTATGTTGAGGTTGTTGACGCAGGTTGGCGGTGTGAGTATTGCTGATGTTGGTGTGATGGATTAAGCTGACATGACGCAGTGGTCTGTTGCACGAGCTCAACTGCATCTAGCGCAGATGCGCAAGGAGTTGAAGAGTTACCGGACTCATGCGTACTTACCTGGGACAGTTGTTTACGCGAGGAAGCCCATCAAGTGAAAGACGGGCACGTCACATTGATCTCACTTCGCGAAACGGCTCCGCGTTCGGGCTCAGCTTGTCCAACCATCCAGAGAAGAACCGGCTTGACTGCCACCGCAACCATTATCGCGGACAGCCTTGGGACGAGCGCGCATTTTCACCCATCACAGTTGTGAAACGAGATTATGACCAAGAAGGGAGCATGTCATTAGATATTAGATCTACACAGATCGTGATCCTTTTTGGGGGGAAGACCAGGAACCGCCTCCAGTTTCGGACGTGGACCCGAAGACCCGCAGTCTCATCCAGCTTCCAACAACTTGGTCAGAATTGCCATCATCGCTCAAACCGAAACCCGACAACTCCCCACTCTTAAGTGCGTGGGCAGTCGACGGACTTGCACTTGCCGCAGTTATCCTCCGCAGTGCTCGCGCACAGACATAGAGCCTTGCAGATCATATCGTTGGCGCCGCACTTCTTGCTACATTCGTACCCAGCGTCGCGGCAAGCTTTGCAGTGTTCGCTGTTAACGTCGTCGTCGTCGCTTCCCTCGCGAGCGTTGGCAGCGGCAGCGACTTGCTCATAGTCGGCAGTCTCTGGGCCAGCAAGAGCAATGTCGTGGTCGGTGAACTCCCATTGATCGCAGTCTTGAGGAGCCTCGACGCAGCCTGTGGTAGAGTTAGTATAGATAGAACAGAAATGAAGCTCTCGTTGAGCTAGAAAATCTTATCACGTACCTTGTTGGCGGCAGATTGACTTCGGGTTCGAGTGCAACATGCAGGCGCAGTAACCCTCACAATGGGGACCAAAGCCGCACGCCTTGAGGCAATACGGCAAGGCCTCGGAGCAGCCCTGTGTTGCGCAGGTGTTGTCGTCGCCGTTGACATCAGCAGTCTGAACAAAGTCCTCGGGAGCGTCTTGGTTGTAATTGATGGTTCCGGGGTCGACCTGAGCAGCAGTCTCGGACGAAGCCTCCTCAACAGTCGCAGACGCAGCCTGATCAACGGCCGCAGATGTATCTTCGTCTCGACGAACTTTGCCACTGAGCTCGTACTTCTCACAACCTGTAGGAGCCTTCTTGCACTCTATGATCTGTATTAGCAAAACATCCCAATGACAATCCCATGCCTGCCGCAGGGTATCAGCTGTCCCACATACTATCAGTTGTACACTTGACACTCTTGCCGATCATCTTGTAGACCATGCACTCGCAGTAGTGCCTGCAGTGAGGACCTTCCTTGCACTCGTAGACGCATGTTTTCACGACATCCTCGAAACTCATTTGGCCGCCATTCTTTTTATCGCCGCCCGCGCTTGCGAGAGCGGCGAGGCTGACGAGTACGAGGAAGATGGTGGTGAGGAAGCGCATGGTGATGGGTTAACTGTTCGTGGGTCGAGTTGCGTTGGGGAAGGGAAGGGAGGTGTGAGGCAGGCGGAGGCGCGGTGGAAAGAGCTTTTTGACGGAGGAGGTGAGAGCGCGGTGGTGTATTTACGTCACCGCTTGACGAGCGTTTGCGCGTGGGGAAAGCGCTGCCTAGGTGGGTGGATCTTGTGGAACGCTCGTGCGTCGCGTATGAGTGAAGGTGAATGGAAGGTGCGCCTTGCGCGCGAGAAAGAGTGGCCCGGGGGCGACGCATGTTCTGTCTTGATCGAGAGAGTATGAGGCTCTGGTACTGCTCACAGCGGAACATCTAGTGCAACGCGGGAGCTGGAGATGGCTACGACATATGACTCTTCTTCGGCGATCCTGCGTTACCTACTCTTTCCCATGTCACGTAACTCAATACTTGGCTCTCTCTTCACTACAACTTCCTTCCGCACCCAGATATCGGCATCCTTATCTCCTCTGGTAGAAGATGGGTTGCGACTGCCCTGACTAGCAATCTTGATGTAGCTCGATAATTGGCCCGTATGCCCTGTAGAGGTAAAGCCGGATGTCGTCGCGACACAAGCTTGATTTGCGCTAAGTAGACCCGAGTCGAGACTCATCATGAAAGGCTTCAGGAAGGGAATCGTCGCAGTCATGATACTCGTCACTTGCACTATCTGTCCGCAGACGACTATACGCCATATCGAATGGAGGAGGTCGCTGGGTAGTGGTAGGGTGTGTATGTATCCGATTTGGGCGGCGGAGGCAAATACGACGCTGTGGGACTTTGTGTTAGCGCAGGCTCATTGTTGGTGAGGCTATACCCACGCTATGCGCGACCAGAAGCCTGTGATGAGAGTAAGGCGTTTCTCGGATGTGATTTGCAGCGGTAGCACCATCAACGTAGGTACGATGGCTAGGGCAAGGTCGGTTACGATGTTCATGACTGCATTGTAGGTTCGTACGGCGCGCTGAATTGTGTTAGCTAACACCGCGGGACTCTCAGTACTGCCTGCCGAACGTACGAGATCCATGCACTCTGGGTTGGTTATATCCCATCTTTGTGGTGACGGACACTGGAAGGCGATGAGAAAAACGGCACTAAACCCCCAAAGCAGCGTCACAACACCAGTGGCATACATCATCCTCTGATGACTAGCAACAGGTGTCACCAACGTCAGAGAGATGAGTAGCGAACCTTTGGCGGCAACGATCGTGAGGACGCTGAGAATCTCGCTGCTGAATAAAGCCTGATATGTTCAGCGCCGCATTCCAGGATGTTCGTCTGCTTTACCTTCCAAGCCCCATCAATTTGATCTATCGCAAGGCCAGCTTGTATGTTCCCGATAGCCTGACCAGCAGGACTCAGAAGTGTCGCGGCTTGTCCCGCCGACAACACCTGGAGAGATGTTCATCAGTGTGTCTATGTCTTGCCTTAATCCCGGAATACTCACCAGAGCCGCTAGCAGAACAAAATCCGCAGCTACCAGCCGCCGAGACATGGCTTTCTTCGTCGCAAATTGCGCTACAACAGCTAGTGGGGAGAAAGCTAGGAATAGCCAGGCGAGTATCTGGATTAATGGTGCTGCATGGCCGTCGTGGAAGGCAGGACGCTTGCCAGCATCCATAGCCTTGCGTTCAGAAAGCATGGTGGAGTTCCGCTTGTAGCAATGACTGAGATGGTGCTACCATTTGAGCAGCGTGCGCACCAGGATAAGTCCAAGTCCGAGAAGACAACTCCCTCCTTTCGTTATCTGTGTCTGTTCCAACACTCAGGAATCACATGGTGCTCACGGACATCCCAAAGCCAAAGCAACAACACAACACACTGATACACTCACCTCCAACTCTTACCCCTCGTAGGATTCGTACTGTACACCAGTTAACTGTCACCACCCCCACGCACACATACGAGTCTTCGGCTTCTTTCGCTAACCTGCATGTTGCACGACGCGTAAGACGTCAAGGGTACAGGCTGATTACTTATCTGGTAATAGCCAGCGAGACAAGCTTTCGGAACGCTTTACAAGCATTAAGACGTTTGGAATGGTGTAATAGGTCGCTTAGACGATCCGCGCCGCATCCGCGCAGACGCATCACTTTGGGCCACCAATCAAACGGAAGACAACGTGCATGAACACCCCGTCGATATGCAGTTGCGTGAGGGAAAAGGAAGGTAGGGACGAAGGATGTGTTGATGTCGTGGGTGTTTGTGCGACCATGGCGGCTGATCCACACGCTCGAGGCTTAGCCAACGTTGATAACGCTCGGGACGGTAACATCCGCGGCAACTAGGTTACTTCCACCCGGATCCTATAGGAAGAATATTGAGTAAGGATCTCCGCATTGAGGGGAGAGCAAGATTGTTGGGCTGGAGGGGATAGAGAAGTTGGCGACAGATTGCGCAGTGTACAGCATGCCTTTGAGAGGGTTGAGAGTGCTCGCGATTTGTACGCGCAATTGGGAAATGGAGTGTCTCGTCAGTATATCGCTGGGTTGAATACGGTGAAGAAGTTTCGGGGCATCATGTAGACCCTGCTATCAAGATCCCCGCGCGGCATGCTGTGCGACAAAAGTCGCGGCACGGCATGTTACCTGCTCGATGCGCTTAGCGAAACAATCTGGATGAATCTGTGCATAACCGACATCTAAACGCGAAGCTGCTCAAGTGCGGGTTTAAGAGCTTGCAGTTACTTTTCATCTTCCTCGCACCCAGCGAAGTGTCCGTCGCGATCTCTTGCTGTCGTTTTTTCTTCGACATACCTTATCTTATCCTAAGCATGGAGCTCGGCAACAGGACGAAAGCAGAAGCAGTCAGTTCCGCCATCGAAGACGGCGATCATGATAGCTACACTCGAGATGAGAGAGATCTCATTCGGCTGGGTAAGAAGCCGCAACTGAAGCGGACCTTTGGGTTCATGCAGATCTTGGGGTTTTCTTGTACTGTGCTGGTGACCTGGGAGGGCATTCTGTCGTAGGTTCAATTCTTGAATAACACGCTCGGGTATGTTCTTGACAGTACCGCAGAGTTTCTACGCCAAGTCTCTTGAACGGTGGCCCTGCCGGCGTATTCTGGGGGTATCTTCTTATCTGGATCGGTTCAATCTCCATCTACACCGTCCTGTCTGAGTTGTCTTCGATGGCACCTACCGCAGGTGGCCAGTACCAGTAAGCAGCCTCTCTTAAGCGTCGGCTAAGCTTATTTACTGACGGATCGTAGTTGGGTCGCAATGTTGGCTCCACCGTCATCCAGAAAGTTTCTCAGCTATATCACGGGATGGGTGACGTTGATAGGCTGGCAAGCAACCACTGCTTCTTCAGCGTACCTAGCTGGAACAATACTACAGAGCGTGATTCTAATCCTCCACGACGACTACTCCCCCAAACCGTACCAAGCCATGCTGCTCGGTTGGGCAGTGACCGCGTTTGCCGTTGTCATCAATACTATCGGAAGCAAGACCCTCGCGCATTTCGAAGGCGTGATACTGATATTGCATATCCTGGGGTTCTTTGCGATCCTGATTCCTCTCGTATATCTCGCTCCTCACAATGACGCATCAATCTTCGTCACATTTGTCAACACGGGTGGTTGGTCAACCCAGGGCTTGTCTTTCATGGTAGGGCTACCATCGTCAATATTCGCGCTAGTCGGTAAGTGTGATAAGACACCAGACTCGACGAAGGCAATATACTAATCTTTCCTCCCAGGTGTCGACTCATGTGTTCATGTATGTTATTCGCCCGAATTGGTCGAAATCCAAGGAACTGACATGCATGTAGATGGCCGAAGAAGTAAAGAACGCATCCAAGGTAGTGCCGCGAGCCATCCAGATTAGCGTGTTCCTCAATGGCGCACTTGGACTTGCTATGATGGTCGCATACCTCTTCTGCCTGGGGGACCTGAATGATGTTTTGGAGAACTCAGTCACTCTTGGATACGCTTACCTCTATGTCTTCTTGAAAGGCACGGGATCTCCGGGTGGGGCTATGGCCATGGCATTGATCATGTGGTTTCTTGGTGTCTGCTGCCTGGTAGGTCTCATGGCCGCAACCTCGCGGCAGATGTGGTCCTTCGCAAGAGACAGAGCCGTGCCGTTCTCGGCGCAGGTCACTAAGGTATGATCCCATCAACATGCCCTCGTATAGGGATACGAGTGTTGCAGGAGCTGACGACGGTATTAGCTCAATCCTGCAACTTTGATCCCGGTCAACACGATCCTTATCACAGCTGCCGTCAGCGTGCTCCTGTCGTTCATCGCGCTCGGCTCCTTCGTCGCTTTCAGCAACATCGTCAACCTCAGTATCGGCGGCCTCTACGCTTCATACTTCATCGTATGCGTCCTTCTCCTCTGGCGGCGTCTCAAGGGCATCAGCCCGTACAACTCGCGTGCCGCAATGGTCGGACCGGAGACACTGCAATGGGGTCCATGGAGAGTTCCCGGTGTGCTGGGCGTGGCCAACAACATCTTCGCCTGCATCTACCTGTTTGTGATGTGGTTCTTCTCGTTCTGGCCGGGTTCCGTTGAGGTCAATGCGCAATCTATGAACTTCAGTTCAGTCACGTTTGGAGGAACCGTACTTTTTGCCGTCATCTGGTATTTCGTAAGAGGTAGAAAGACATATGTCGGGCCTATCGTCGAGGTAGTGCTGTAGTAGATTTGGCTGAAGGGCGACGTTCGACACCTGGGTAAAGAGCACAGGACTTTGAGCTGCCTTCCGTCTTTCGCTTGAGCGGGTGCCTTACGGAAGGCACCACGGGGCCCGCAGCGCCAGTGCGACGAGAGAAAGGCGCAACGCTATCGCGAAAGATACACAGACATCGATAGAATGAAAAATGAAAAGCCGTCGTCCTTGTCAAATCCCTGGCGTAGGTCGATGGCGATGTTGCCAAAGATTCAGGTGTGTTGCAAGACCCACGTCATTGCCGAGACACCTTAGTCATTGTCACGTGGACCACAGCACAACTTGTATGCCCTGCCATCCCCTACTAGTAAAGTACG